AGAGAAAGAGAAAGAGAAAGAGATGAAAAAAAGAAAAAGGAGAAGAGATCAAAAACACCGCCTAGAAGTTATAGTTCTTCAAGAAGATCACGTAGTTCTAGCAGGTTTGAATTTTTTCAAAGTTCCTCGATTCATTTTTAAAAAAATTGAAATTGTAGTAAATAAATAGTACATTTAGTGTCCAGTAGTACATACTAAAACAATGATGAGGCTTATTTGATACCTGTTGCATATTTCTAAAGGGATTAAATTAGGACCACATTATGAATCGATTACCATAGACTTTTATCTGGTAAATAATGAAGGATTCCAGAGACAAACCTTTGGTGCTTCTAGACAAGACTTTTCTTGTGCAAATCTCTTGCCTTGTCTTGATATTTACATGAAGTTCATGTATCATGCAATAAACTTCTACACATAGCCTTATATATATTTGGTTACTCATCAAATGAGTAAAACTAAATAAACTCTGTTGCACTGCAAGTGTTTTGTTCTTCAAAAGCATACCAGATCAGGTTTCTTTTAAATCAACTGGCCTTATGTTAGGTTTTAATGCATTTTTGTATGAATTGTATTTACAGAGCTATTATGCCAAATTATGGTTTAGCAAGGTGTGAATGACCCACAGCAGCTTATAGAAGGGTCTCTCTTTTTCTCTGGTACGGATAAAAACTGCAGTTGTTGCTTTTCAATCAAAATGTGCACTGAGATAACTTTATAGTTGAGGTTGACTGCAATTTAGGATCTACATGACAACCTGAGCTTAATTAAATTAGTAATACCCAGTGGACTTCCAATTTTTGATTAATGGATCTTACAGAGATCGAAGGAAGAGGAAGAGCCGAAGTCCTTCAAAGTCTCCCAGATCATCCAAAATCACAAAAAGGAAATCATCTCGGACTCCATCTCCAAGGAGGTAGGTACATAGATTTATCACACAGAGTTTTTGTATTGTTCAAATTATTCTGAAGTACGTGCCTCTCATTAACAGCAAGTAGATTAATGCAAAGAAACACAGAACAAGAAAGAAACAGAAAACATGTGTCTGGTTTTTTTTCTTTTGATTAATAATTATCTTCAAGTTTTTTTCTTTTTAGGACATTCTAAACATTTTACCTTTGTGTGTGTGTGTGTGTGTGTGTGTGTGTGTGTGTAGTCTCCAAACTTTGACAGTTTATTTATAATATAAATCTCAAACCATTATTGTTCCTTTGAAATGTAGAATTCATTTTTAGTAGCAGTTGTCTGACTCGAAGTTGAAAAAACACTTTAGTAAAAAAGGCAGTGATAAACCAGTTCTTTAAAGACTGCAGAGGAAACATATTTGAACTTGACTTGAGGTAGTCTTTAGCCTAATTGTCGCTATCAGAGCTTGCTGCAATGCATCGTAAAAGGATTATTAAGGTGCAGGATTTTTTAGTTTGATGGATACACTTCATAGATACTGTTTTTTACTGCTCTTGTAAGCTGCCCATAGATGTTTAAGATGGCCAGCCATAAAAATCTTCCAGATAAATAAACTTTAAGATAATTTGAATAATTTCATTTGGGAAAGAATTGTGGTACATTTTTTTTAAAAAATGCTAAATTTGATGTGTAAAATATTTTTCTATTGCTAGATATTCTTTGTTGAGCAACATAAATTATTTAATACAAATTTTTATTTAGTCTTAACTAGGAAGTTCTTTATGTGCCAATTTTGAGATTATTTTTATCCAGGTATCTTGAATAAAATCTAAAATTAGCTTGTCCATGTTTTACTGGTAAGTAGAAGAAATTGCTAAAATAAATTTTATGTTTCCTGTCATTAAATATATTTAGTACTAATACTTTGTTCCAATGTTACTTGTCATGAATTCAGTATTGTTTGAGGATGTGTGACTTTGCTAATCATTCTTTAATGAATTCTGTAAGCATGAAATGAACCATCCTAATTACATCAGTGTGTATAATATTTTTTCCAAAACAGAAGCAAGAAAGACAGAAAAACAGAAAAGGAGAAAGATGTAAGTAATGATCGAAGAAGAGAGAGGGAGAGATCTACCTCAAAGCAAAAGAGTAGTAAAGACAAAGAGGTCAAAGAGAAATCAGATAAAACCGCAATTGTGAAGGTAAGCTTATTTTGATCAAGCCAATTCAATCATTGTAGAATATTTTAGGAAGACTTCATTGCCTGCTGTCTTTTGTGCGTTCTTTGGATACCTCCTAAATTTTATTTAATTATTGAAAAATTATCTTCAAAATACCTCAGTAATTTCAGACAAGAACAAGTCATAAATACCAAATTTAAAAAGACAACATAGTTTAACGTGAAGGGATAAAATTTGCAGTGTTGAATTTTATTCCTTTGAGGCCTTTTCAGGAGTATTTGCATGGTAGAATATTGTTTCCAATAGAAAGGAAAGGTGACCATTCTTAATTGCAGAAGGTGAAGTTAATCAGTTTTGCATATTTTCTAATATTTTTCTGAGGTTAATAATAAACTAAATAATATATGTATGTTATAAACTATCTTAAGTAGTATTTCTACAAGAAGGACTTACATTAAATAGCAATTATCTATTGTAATGAATAGATAATAGGCAAGTTCCCAATCCCTTTTAGTGGCAGCAATCAACCAAATAGGATTCAGTTAACTGCACTTCTAGCAGCAAAAGCTGCACCCCTTTCTAGCAGCGAAAGCTGCACCGCTTTCCCATAAATGGAAAGATTTTGTCAAACCTGAATAGAAAATTGGTAATTGGAAAGAGGGGACATAATCTTTTATTTCAGTGAGGGTTTTCAGTCACCAAAATTCTCTTAGAAGCCTGTATTGAATTTTAAGTATTCCTCTGTATCCTACTGAATTGTTGTCATGTAACAGGTCGTGGAAGAAGATTGTGCCCGCCTATTTTCCTGTCCTCCCCTATTGTTGAAAGGCGTTTTTTTACTGCAAACTACTCTTTATTGAAAATGTCATAATTTCTCTTTGCTGGACAGAATGCTCTTGAGCCAAATGAGCATGGAAGTACATTCCCTCGGTTCGGGCATGTGTGCATTTGGGCATGCACTTTGGGCACTTGGTCTGGAAAAGGTTAGCCATCACTGGCCTAGAGAGTATTGCAATCTTTTCCATTACTAGGGAGTGGGAGTAGAGATACCATAATACAATAGACTGCATGCTTGCTGGATCCATTTGAATCATTTCTGGATATTCTATAACCCAAGTCAGATTGAATGTGCATTTTTCTAATTTAGCAAAGAACTTATTGTGTCACAATTTTTGTAATATATTTCTGAAATGAGTTCCATGAAAGCAGGAATCTTCAGAATAAACCAAGAGGTCATCCAGTAGACAATAATATCTGCAGAAATGTTCATGAAGCTATAGAAAAAACTTCAGAATAAGACTTGAAACCAGGCTGAAAGACATTACTATGTATTCAAATCTTCCATACCTTGTATCAAAGCTTGATAAATATTCATGCCCTTCTTTGATTCTAATGAAGTTGTAAGCACTTCTCAAGTCTAGTTTTGTAAAAAACAATGTTTTTAGTAACTGATCTAGTAGATCAGTGGGAGTGGATAATAGTGTCTAATTATTACTTTGTTCAGGTCCTTGTAATCATGAATTGTGTGCATTTGGGTTCCCTCCTTTCCATTTAGATTGATTATTCTTTTTATCCCAAAGATGCTTTCCCCAAATGTTTTGTTTCTCATCAAGAAGCTTCTTCAGTTCTAGCTCAGTTCTTCAGTTCTCCAATTAATATAGTAACTAAATTGCAAAACAAATGTTATCAATATAAACTCAACAAAAACACAATATAACAACTTAAGTTGTTATATAAACCTAAAGATAGGTTTATTGTATGTCTTGCCTTAGTCCCTAAATGTATATTTTAAAAATTGTTGCTTTTAAAAGATTCCTGAATCCTAGGATATGACTCTTTCATTTGGTGGAAGATAATTTCACATTCTGTGCAGCAGGTTTAGATAGTTAATTGGTGCTGGCTAATGATTAATATGGGCATAGAAGAAACTAATTGTTGCAGTACTAATATCAACAGAAGGATATAATGCATTATGAATTTCATTTAAAAGTTGCCATTTAAAAATAAGTAATTATTTCAGATGTTTCAATTTTTATCAGATGTATTTATTTTTAAGGTTTATAGCCTTTCTTCAGGTGCTCCATATGGTTTACATGGAGATTATTATTATTTCCCCCCATTTTTATACACTTTTAAAATTCAAATTTTGGAGTGCATGAGAAGGACCATGCGTGCCCTCAAAATTCAATTAGATAAATTTGTTGTGTATTATTTATTTATTGCCTTTTAAATATTTTTTTTATTTACAAAGGATAAAGATCTCAGTAAAGAGAATCAAAATTCTGAAATCAGTAAAGCAGCAGAGGAAGAAGAGACAACAATTGCAGCAGAAATTGAACAACAACAGAATGGGAACTGCCAACCAAATGAAGACACGATCTCAGTTAAAACTGAAGATGTGTAGAATATTGAATGGACCTTTGACCCATTTTGCAAAAGAAATACAAAACCTTTTGTTTGATCTCCAAAATACATCAAAAGAGGATAAAAAAAATTAAGCAATCAACTGGCCATACCAAATTCTGCTAGCAGCTACTCCAGTCTTGGTGGTTTGGTCAGCTTGAGGACTGACAAGAAGCAGGACTCTGACCAATAGGATATGCTGTTACAAAAGCAAGCAGCAATGGTCATATCTTCCAAAATAAATGTATTTCATTGATCATAAAATACTAGGTGGTTGCAATCTATACTATCCTGAAAAGCTACCAGAGGGATGCATTTGGAAGTTGTTAAAATATTTGTAGATTGATAAATTTTGTTTTTTCTTATGGTTTTAAAACTAAACTCCATGTGATATGTTTTGATGATGTGCTTGAAAATGGTGCAGAAATAAACATATTTCCCTTGATGTTGTAAATTACAAGTGATGAAAAGTTTTAACTTAACAGTTTTACATTTGTGTTTATGCCCACAAAGGTAAGTGAAGATTCTTCCTCTGTTGTTTGTGACTTTCTTTTTATATTTTTAAAAACATATTTCACAACGTAAGTCTACAATTCTTCTCTTAATTAGTAGTTGATCAATGCATGCTAATGTTCTGATTCTAAAAAGAAGATACATGTTTATACTAGAGTTCCATTCTTCCAATTATAAGCACATCTTTGTAGTAATTCCAGACAACTGACTTTGTCTTGAGTTGTATTACAGGGTGCCTACTCACTTGCAAATTGAACAGAACAGAAAGACAAATTTTTACTTGTTAGTGGAGATGTAGAGCACAAGCTGATGCTTTAGTGCCTTTGACACAGAATAGTGATTTCTAGTAATGTAGAGGTTTTTTTTTAAAAAAAATCTCTGTTTGAGTTGCTCTTTTTGATGATTATCACACCAGTAGGCAAGCATTTGAAAGATGTCAGTCATATCAACTATTAGTTATTTGAAATAATTTGAAGATCTCTTGATTTCAAGTAAAAAAACCAACAACCCTATGTAATATATGGATTAATTGCTGTTTAGGGACCATAAAAAAGTGAGCATTTTATCCAATTAATCCATACATTTTTCAGATCATATACTGAAACATGGAATTGAATAGTGCTAAAAAGAAGTAATTTACTTCTCATCAGGACTGGAACTTAGAAAGCTCCCTTTAAAAGCACGTATCTTAAGGGCTAAATGTAAGAGGTTATTTCTATACTTTCTATCAGAAGTAAAGAAATAATTAAGATTTCTGTTCTGTTTGATAAAGTTCTGAAAGAAAAAAAGCAACTAGTTCTAGTCTCATTGCAGCCTTTTAAAATTTAAAGCAAAGGGTTATACTGTAAAATCAAGAACTATTTGAATATAATGTAATACAATCATATGGCCTTATAGCACTGAAAAAAAAGTATGAAAAGCCAAATAGTCATATAGCTTTCAGTTTGTGTTTTCAATATTTCTGTTTATGGACAGATAGGTGAGTATGATAAAATGAAAGCTATAAGATAAGAGGGCTCTTAGATTGTGACACTGCTTTAGTAGCTCATTGTTGGGTAAGGTGTTTTTGTTTGTTTTTTGTTACAGTCTAAAGTTTTTTTTTCTTCAAAAAACCTTTAGTGAATGCTTTACCATGTAAAGTATGGACAGTAATTTTGTGATGTTTATGCCACATAAAGTTGGCTTGCAAACAGCTTATTCTGATAAAGCAAAGACAAACCTCATGCTTCTTGAAGGACTGTGAAAGATTGTGTCTTGCAACAGCAGCTGTCATATTTATGATTTGTAAGTAGCATAGAGCAAAGATTGTATACCTGCTATCTTTGGTACCATCACTAATAAATTTTAGTATTTTAGAGAGAAGTAGTTTTGATTTGCTTTTTAAAATAATGCCTGAAAGTTTATTATCATTTACTACAATAGCTGCATTTTGTTATATGGATACTTTGGTTTGTGTTGGTATATATAGCAAAGTAAAAAAGATGGAGCCCAGAAGAGATATGTATTAAAAGTTTATAACTTTTCAGTATAAAGTATGGTAATGTTCCAAGTTTTTTTCATATATTGCCAAATGTGGTATCACTTTAATTTACAAGCAGAGGCTGAGATGGTTACAATGGGCCTAGTGAGTGTTTGATTAGGATCAATTTAAGACTAGTTAATGTAGTAGCTGAATAGGTTAAGGTCGTTTGAGTACAATAAAATCCCTGTTAAAATTGCATCAGATCATTGAGACGCTTGTTTGTTTTGTTTCTGTGTAGTTCCACAGGAATACATAAACATTTCCTTATGCAAAATACGTAGAGTTTGAACACTAAAATTGCAATTGTGGAAGGTGAGGTGGGTGGATACAGGAAGAGGTAGGAAGAGGAAGACTGCATAGACTGCTTTACAGAGCTCTGGAAACAATTGTTAAACCCCAAAGCATACAAATTTATTTCAATATGACAAAAAAGTCTTGTATAATACAGTATAATGCTGTCAGTTTAAAACAAATTTTCAAGTTGAATTTATTTAAAAAAAATTTCCACAAAATTGTTAGCAAGGACACAGCCTATCTTTCTGCCTCGTGCATTATAACCACAAATGTGTAGATCGAGCTTGTAGAATAATCTGTCTTTAATGTCAGATACAGAAATGACAGATTTGGAGATAGCAAGGATTGTACAATGGGTGAGTATGATGACCCTGTTGTCTGCCATAGCATTTTCCGTAAATGTGGAAAGAGCTGCTATCTGCACAGGTGCCAAAGAAGCTAACTTTGCTAAATATTGCTGACAAGGCACTGGGAATAGAAGGTAGTTTTAGATCTTTACAGGACTTTGAAACATGTTAGAACAATTAAGCTGGGGGTTTACCTTGCACTTCCAAGAATTCTAGCAATGTAAATAATTTAGAAGAAAACTACTGCCATCAAAGATAAAGTCATAACACAATGGAGGGGAAGGGGAGTTAAACTGGAAAGCATGAAAGATACTGTGCTTGTTTTAATTGCCACTGCCTTACCACACATTCTGCTATTGAGCCACTTCCAAATAGTATGAATTCTTTTGATTGGTAAATATTAACTTCTAAGTGACTCTATTCATATCCAGAGAGCTTCAGGAACAATCAATTGGTAAGTTTAGCTAAAAAGAGTTTGGTTCATTGCAAAAATATTAATATAGAGATTTGATATAATAATTTCTGTTAGCATTTGTTTACCTTCATATAAGGTAATATAGGGATCAAAAGCAATGTAACCTTTATTTCAGGCTACTGTTATGTTAATTGAAGAAATTGTTCAAGTTTTGACAACTTGAATAGCACAATCTGAAAATATGTATTTGGCTACATTGCTACAAATAGAACTGAATTGTGAAAAACATTGGGCATTATGTACATTAGAAAAAAGTATGCAAAGAATGGACCAAGATGGTGCCAATGCCTTTAGACCATTTAAAGGCATTTAAAGGTAGGGGGGCTTCAATCGCTCACAACATACCTCTAAAAATAGAGTGCTGAATTGCTTCAAGTAAAAATCATTAGGCTTAAAAATAATTAAATTCCCATGGTAAAAATTAATATAATTGTATGGCGGAGCTTAAACTCATCTGTATTTGTAATTATAATTAGACCATATATCCAAATGATATATGAAATATAATGAAATAATTTCAATAAGATTGATTAGAATATATCAAACAATTCCAATTTATGCCAATATGAATTCTAATTACATATCCTTCATCTAGTGGTAAAGGCTTTTGATCGGTTTACTACCTGAAGCGTCATCGGCTTTACCTCATAGGATCTCAAGAACAGCAACATACTGGTGATTCTTCTTTACTTCCTGAGTTTTTGGACAACTGTTAGAGATGGACCGTTTTCGTAGGCAGATTCTCTGAAAGCTGCTGCATGGCTTTGTGACTGAATTCCATACCAACATAATCAAGGTGAAGGCCTGCCTTCACCTTCTCACTGGCATTTACTCTGTTATGAGGCTTGGGAAGTGTCTTTTCCTTTCCCCTTGCCACTGCTTCAGAATACTCTGTGGAAACTCTCCCGGTTGCTGGACTTGTTGGAGGAAATACCTCCAAATCATTCTTTATCACATAAAGCTTATCGGCTTTGTTCACTGGTGCTGAAGGAAGCAATGGTTGGAAGCTGGGTCTCAGGAGAGCCTGTATATTCAATGAAGTGGGGGAAAAATAAGTTGTCACTGTATTCAAACCTTAAGCCACAAACCAGACAACCTTAGCTGTCCTTATGGGTAATTCTATCCTCTGCAGGGCCCGAACATTGGGCTAATTGAGCATAAGAGTTAAATTAACCACGGGTAAATATTGTGCAAACACAGCTTTAATTTCTTACGGCAATATTAGAGTTAATTCCTAAAGCAAAATTAATAAGAAACAAATTGAAAAAAATATTTTTACTATGATTAATTAATCATGGTATGACACTGCAAGGTGTTGGACCTAATAACCTCCAGTTGTGCTGGACTGCAGGGCAACACATTCCTAGCCAACATACCCATTAGCTATGTTGGATGGCAATTAGAGAGTAGAGATCAATTTACTCAAAAGTGGTAGATTCATATGGTTGACGTTAGGAATTGACAACTATTTCTCCAGTTTAATCTTTTTTAAAATAGGAAATCTCTTTCACTGTTACAGTACTAATCACAATATGTTTCTCTAATATTTTAAAAAATATTCATCTATTTTCTACACGGGGATATTTTTGTACAAATTATAGTACAGTAATACTGATGAAAAACTTTCTGTATTGCTCTATTATCTGTTATTACAAGAGTTGTGGTGGCGCAGTGATTAGAGTGCAGTATTGCAGGCTAATTCTGCTGACTGCCAGGGGTTCGATCCTCACCAGCTCAAGGTTGACTCAACCTTTTATCCTTCTGAAGTTGGTAAAATGAGGACCCAGATTGTTCGGGGCAATAGGCTGTAAACCGCTTAGAGAATGCTGTAAAGCACTGTGAAGTGGTAGATAAATCTAAGTGCTATTGCTATCGTATCTCTCGAAGTTTCAGTAGCATTTTCTTTCTTTTTCTTTCCTTAATTTCCAGCCATTTCACTTGTGTCAGGAGCACTTGTGGTGGCCTAAGAGCTCTACCAGCGAAAATGGATTTCCGAGCTCCATTTTCAGCTGCAATGACTTCCTACAACCCTCTGCCAGCAAAAACGGAGCTCCCAAGCTCGTTTTCACTGGCAGAGGCACCACGGGCCTGTCCTTTGCTGTTTCCAGGACCGCCCCACAGGCAAGATCTAAGCATCCCGCAGACTAGATCCAGGCCCCGGGCCTTGAGTTTGACACACCAGTTCTAGACTCATAAAAGATGACAGTGCGGACAGCAAAAACCCCACAGTATATTGATTTAAATACAACAGTGGAAAGGCATTCTATACATAAGCAATTATGCTATACTATTTAATAATGGAGATAAGTCCACAGTATTAAATGGTGCAAAAATGCTTAAAAGAATCATACCACTGGAAAGGTTCTTTCTGCAACTTGCATAGCACTGCTATCTCTTGGATTTGGGACAGGTGGCCAGCATGATTTTCTTGATCTGAAAGTCCAAATTTTGTTGAAAACATGAAAATTATGTTTAGTTCTTGAAAACCTAATCCTGCAAGTTTCATAATGAATTCAGTGTTAACAGGAGATATAGCTGAGCACCTGGCAGAAATGACCTTTTGGCCAAAGCATTTGGAATGGGCTTATCTGAGAAAAACCAACTAGCAGGTGCAATTTACATGCTGTAAATATCAATGTGTGCAATTTGGTGCAGTATGTAAAAGTAACTCCTAGCTAAAATTGCATGAAATACACTAAGCAAATGCGGGTTTTTTTCTTGCATAATCCATCACACACTTATAGCAAAAGTATGGGAGCTAATAATCATCAGGATTGTGAGAGTTATGTATTAGTGTATTTATTACCAAACATTTATTTTTAAAATTATTGTTTGATTCTTTTTGCACAGCATTTTCTTACCAGCAAATGCTCATAATGCTTTTCCTATTTGCCTGTGCTAATCAATGTGTCCTGATCATCAAACCCTTGACAATGATTTTCTGTTTTATTAAAACACTTATAATTCAAGGGGTTAAAATAGTGTTACATTTTATTGGTCTATATTCTCTTTCAAACTGCAAGTACTCAACAAACTATCGCTTCTGGTTATGGAAATTCTGCATTCCATGGTTTTTGAGAAACAAGATTGTAATCTGCCAGTAAAGAACTTGATGTAGCTTTGCAAGCTTTCTTGTGGGAACACAATCAATGCCTTTGCCCTTATTTTTGCTGGCGCGCTGGGTGCAAAGAGAAGAACTCCCAAAATGTATTGAGGTGGCAGAAGCTTAAATACTGGATCAAAAACCCATGCCCTTGTCCTAGCAGGGCCTCAATAAGGAAAAATATGCTTGCTGTTATCCTTACTGCTTTTCTCATCATTCTGAATGGGAAATTGCTAAGCAAATGCAGAAGGGGAAGAAGAAAAGGGGAAAAAATGATTTCACATGATTTTAGAACTAGTTCATTTGCAATGGTTTCTTTCTACCCTGTCTATTGTATTGCACTTGCTTCTGTATATGCCTCCTAACACCCATCTTAGTGCTTATTCCCAGATAAGGATTAACCAAGGGATAGAATCAAGCTCACGAGAAGTGATCCTACCAATTTATAATGCTTTGGTAAGACCACACTTGAAATACTGCATCCAATTTTGGTCACCACAATATTAAAAAAAAGGTTAAGACTGGAAAGAGTGCAGAAAAGAGCAACAAAGATGATTGGGTGGAGGGAGCTGAAAGCTAAATGTTTCCAGGAATTGGGTATGTCTAGTCTAGTGAAAAGAAGAACTAGGGGTGACATGATAGCAGTGTTCTGATATTTGAGGGGCTGTCACAAAGAAGAGGGAGTCAACCTATTCTCCAAAGCACCAGAAGGCCAAACAAGAAGCAATGAACAACCTGAAACTGAACAAAGAGAGAAACAACTTATAACAGGAGAAACTTCCTGACAGTAAGAAAAATCAACCAGTGGAACTGCTTGCCTTCAGAACTTGTGGGTGCTCCAACACTAGAGATTTTTAAGAAGAGATTGGACAACCATTTGTTGAAAATGATATAGGGTCTCCTGCTTGGGGATTGTGATTGGGATAGAACAGGGGTCTCCAACCGTGGCAACTTTAAGACCTGTGGACTTCAATTCCCAGAATTCCTGGGAGTTGAAATCTACAAGTCTTAAAGGTGCCAAGGTTGGAGTCCCCTGGGCTAGAAGACCTCCAAGTTCTCTTCCAAGTCCGTAATTCTGTTAATAATGTTACTTTAATTCTTAACTTTTGTAGAGCTAGACAACAAGGTAATGGTGAGTCCGTAGAGGAAGTGAGCAGAACCCTATTTTTGTTCTGTTCATGGTTTTAAAAGTTTTGCACCACTTTTGAATTCTGTTTGCTTGTTACCACAATTAGAATAAAAACACACAAAGCAATTAAAGTATTTCTATATCATGAAAATATAATTACCGTTTCAGTACTGAGGAACAAATTGTGATAGCAATAGCTGGAATTATTATGAGGCCAAGACAGAGGCCAACAACCATTCCTCCAAATTCTCCTTGATCTAAGAAGAAATAAGCAACAGAAAAATTGAGAAACATACACTGCTCTAGGGAATTAGCCTTTTTGTTAAAAAAAATATATATGTTCCACTGGTAAGTAAGACAAATGTTTTCTCTATCAAGGATCTAACATATGCAGTTATTTATGGCCCAGTAGCTGGTTAGGACGGAGAGTTGTGCCCATTGTTGGCACTGAAAAAGTTGGCCATCAATGCTGGGTCAATGTGGAATACAACCTGATCCTGTGGATAATCTTAATTTGACTAGATGCATAGCTGAGTAACATTAATGTGAAAGAGTAGAATACACATTAAAAGTACTAATAAGTAAATGCATAATAATAAAATTTCAAAATACCATATTTCAGCGTAGTAAAATCCTGCGGCAAGCTTTGAGCTCCTTCTCCCTTGCTAGTGATGCCAGAGACATGGACTGTATAATGGGTATTTGCCTTAAGATCAACCAAGTGGTGCTGTTTTATTGAAGAATTGAGAGTAAGGGCTGTAATGGAAGGGAAGGGAAGATGTTACGAAGAATAGTTGCTGTGCCTACCCCAGGAGAGGAAGAATTTGTTCTCAGTGTATTTGGGTGATAGATAAATATCTTCTAAGCCAGTGTTTCTCAATCTTGGCAACTTTAAGATGGGTGGACTTCAACTCTCAGAATTCATTCAATGATGTTCTAAGTTCCCAGTGATGTTTTCCTCAAATTATAAAGGGAGAATTTTTCTCTTGAACTGATTGACCTTGTCTCTTCTCTTAATATACTTTACCTGATAGCATGGCACCTTTCTATATATAGTGTAGAAGCTATTGTATCCACTTACACATAGAATCAAATGATCTTGAACAATTCAAACTTTGCCTAGCAATACAGATAGTCCTTGTTTAATGACTCAGCAACCACTCAAATTTGAATGATGAATGATGGCAATTATGACCAAACCTCATAAACTGTGGTTGCAGTGTCCCCACAGTCAAGTAATTAAGATTTGTGACTTTCCAAGCTGGCTCTCAGAAGTAAAGTTAATGGGGAAGCTGCCAAGAAGTTAGAAGTTGTGATCATTAGAGGCTGTCACTTAAGTACCTGTGCAGTCTTTGCTTAACTATGACAACAAGAAGTATTGTCACTAAGCAGCATGGTGGTCATATGACTGTTTTGACATGATTGTATCACTTAACAATAGTTTTTACCAATTAGTATAATTAAACAAGGATTACCTGTAACATGATATGAGCAGTCAATATATGTGGATTCTATTTAAAGAGGACCATCAACAGAACTTCACTGTGCTTTATGTACTGTACCATTATTTCCTAGCTGACTGCAAGACACGGTCAAAGTCTCTTTTTAAATTCTAGTTTAGGTATATTTGTTACTTTCCCTTCTTTCTCCCCTTTTTACCCTGTCCAACTCTCCGCTGCTTCTCTTTTCTCTTTGGATCTTTCCTTTCTCTGTGTTCTTTTAATTTCATAACTGGTTTCTTTATAAAAGAAAAAGATGAAGGAGAGTTAAAGGGAACCAGCTCTTCTGCATTTAGACTATGATGTCTTACTTTCTGAAAAGACTTCCAAGTCCCTTCTTTGACATTGAATCCTGCTGCTCTGTAGGAGAATATCTTGCAGTATATGGATTCTAAGTGTCTTTTTCTCCAGCGTTTGAAGTTAAAAGCATTTTTTCACTTAAATATTTTATTGAAGTGGAGTAAAAGATTCATATTATTTCAGAATAGTAAAGCATTTGCAGCATGTGGGGTCATTATGAACAGTGCTCACTGCTGCCTCCAAAATCAAAATGCATAGATGTGATACATGCCTGCTGACTTTCCTTTTCTCTTCTCTCTTTTATAGGAAACTTTAAAAATTAGGAGCCTAATACTGTATGAGTTAAAGAAAATCTATTTCTTGTCATATATATATGACAACATATATGTAAAGGTTCATTTATATATGAATATGGATATGAATATGTATGTATGTGTATAATTATATACCATGTTTCCCCGAAAATAAGACAGGGTCTTATTTTCCTTTGACCCCCAAAATAAGCATTTAGCCTTATTTTCGGGGAAGTTTTATTATTTTTGAGGTGCAGGAGGCGGCGAGCCTGGTCACCTCAGGGCTACTGCCATGTATGTTATATGTGTGTGTTATATTTGTGCTGATAAATAAATAAAGGGAGACACAATCAGCACAAATATAACAAATGTAACAAAAAGGCAACAGTAAAAAATATTGGGTTTCTGTCTGGATGGTCTCTTGTGACGAGCCGAAGGACAGAGAATGGAAGTGTGATCTTCCTCCCATATTTGGGCATACCAGGGGTTGTGACTTTAAAATAAATAAATAAATAAATAAATAAATAAATAAATAAATAAATAAATAAATAAAAAAAATATAT